ATCCAGCCCCCGTGAGACCAAAGTTGGAGTCTCTGCCCTTCTGAGCATATGCAGGACAAGCCCCCACGTCCTCATGGAGAGGAGGGGGCTGTGCATCGTGGGGACGGGAGCAAGCGCAGAGCACGTGCCATCCCCAAGCCACACTGTCCCACCATCAGCCAGGAGGGAGCGAGGGTGCAGGTGGGGGTGAAGGGAAAAGACGGGGACATGACAGGGAAACTGAGGCTCCAGGCTCCACGCGCCCCCCCCCCTCTCCAGGAGCAATCTGATGGCATCCTGTGATTTGAAAACATTCTACGTCTCAAATGTAATTAAGAAATTTCGACTGGCATGAATACATAATGCACACGTTGCTTTGCAAATGCCTTTTTTTGCCCGGCAGGCTGGTGCCGACTTTAATCTGGAAGAAATCCATTTTCATACAAAGGTAACCAAGAGTGACAGGAAATAGGAAGCCTACATCATTTATCTTCTGTGAACTAAAAAAAAAAAAAAATCAGTTAATTGCTTTTCTAGGAAGCTATTTTGTGGAATCAGGGTGCTTTGCTTTCTCCTTTCACCCACGGCGTAAACTGTGAGTCTTTAAAAGGCCTATCATGGATATGCTCTGATTAATCAATGGGTCTTAAAGTATTTAATTATGTACTTTGATAAATAAACTTCTGAATCAGCCCAAAATGGTTACTCTGTTCTTATCAACCACTACCAATACTCCTAGCACAGTCTATTAATTGATGCTCAAATTGAGGTTTCTTTCCTGGTCAACCAAGCTAGGGGACGCAGGGTTTCCCTTTGCCTCCTGGCTTTCCAAATACGTCCCATTCTCAGCCAGCAGAGCCCTCTGCAATATTAGATTCAGATCAGTGATATTTATTAAATCAATGGCAAACAGAAATCAAACCTTGCAGGCTTCAGAATACCAGGGCTGAAGCTGTCAGACAAAATGGCGGCCCAGCCCATGACACCCATATTTTGTATCAAAAGTCCTGCATAGTAGGCTTTTTCATGATCCTGCCCTATTTTTTTCCTTGCCCCATCACGTGTTTTGTAAATATTTATTTTTAAGTTTTACCAAGTTTTGAGGCTAATAGGAAGTGCTTTTTCAAATCCCAAATTATCATTTTGATAATAATTCCTTATCATATCATGAGCCCAAGACAGACCTTGAAGCCGACCACACTCCAGCTTCAGGGTCTCCAATGTTTTGTAAAACCTGCAAGTGCAAGATATCTCTCTGATCTTTTTGTCCTCAAGAGAACACCTGACAATGTATGCATTTCAGGTCCCCCAAAATGTATTTCTGCCCCTCCAGTTGAAGAGTCTCCAAGGTCTAGATCTGGAATTATATATTAAGGCCAAGTGTGTGTGTGGCAGGGAAGGGGGTGGGGTGGGGAGGGGTGGAGACCGAACTAACTGACTTCAGTTAAAATGGATTTTACCGCTCCCGGTCCTAGAATGTTCTAGAATACATGCTCCAGCCCTTTGTCAAATCCCTTGTCTCCTGCCTCACAGTAGACACCTTTCCAAGCTGCACTCCGGGGGAGGCTCACTTAATGAGGGCTGGCCTCCAGAATAAGAGTCTGAGCTATAACGACAAAAATATGTTCTTCATTAAACACAAAACTGAGCCGAGCCAAACCAGCTAAGAGGCAGGTGTATCAGTTTCAGGAATTCTCCTGAGGCCTTTAACGTCCACATCAAATTGCGCTGGATTTTTCTACACTAATTACCTATTATCGAAGACTAAAGAATTATAACAAATAATTTGCCATGGCGTCAGATAGGCTGCAGATGTTGCAAGGACGAGAATGAAAAGTTTATGAAATATAAAATCGGGCAAAAGAGAGTCAGAAATTCTCCATTTTTAAAAATAACATTTTTTTTTTTTTCCCCACTACAGAGATGATGAAGGTGAGGGAATTTTCCCAGGGCTGGAAGGCCAATTTTAAATTTAGTTTGTACTGTAAGTGAGAGAAATTGCAAATTAAAAGCTAAGTGTTGGAGTCTAATTTATTCAACTCATATAGATAGATTTCCTGAAGGCAGAGATCCCATTTTGATTTTTTTTTTTTTTTAATTTCCTCACATCACAGTGCCCCTACTCAGGGATCTGAGCTTCCTATGAGGAATGTCCCTACACAGTGCCAAGCAGCCATTTTTGAACCCTCCCTCTTGTTTTTACATGATTTTTACCTAATACTTCCTTTGAGCCTCTGAATTCTTCCTTCTGGATTAAGTCCTATTGCACAGTTAATACCTTGAAAAAGTGTTGTCAAGGGAAGCAAGTCCCCTTCAGGGTGTTTTCTCTGTGTCAATTTCCCTAGAAAACACCTCGGCCACCTCACTGGAAGATAAAGCCAGAGAAATGGAGGGGACCTTTTCATAATGGCAGTATGTGCACTGATAGGCGTGAATATTTTTGAAATTGTTTGAGCATTAAGTATAGAAGCATGAATATTTTCCCAATTGTTTACCACATCAAATTGTTTCACACGTTCCAAAGCACATATTCCTTCCAAAGTAAAAATTTGGCAGATAAAAATTATTCTGCTTCTCTGCTATCATTATGGATCTTATAGGAATGGCCTAAAAATATCGACTGATAAACCTGCAAAAGGGTTCTTGTTAGTCTTGGAACGCTGTCAAAAATGCCAAAAAATCCCTGGAGCTTGAAGGGCAGCGAAAGTGATTTGCAGATACTATTTTGCTGCTAACTGTGAAAAAAGTTCTTATTGTGATTAAACAGACAAGTGTTTCCAGATTCAAATCATAATATTTTCCTAACACACCAAGCTTTTTACTAAAACGAGGACTACATCTCCCACTCCAGAAAAAATACCCCTCCAGTTATAACTTTGTTCTACAAATGACACCTCTTTTCTGTCAATGCACAAGTGGCCTCCGACATGTTCAGTCCACAATGTGAGGAGGGCAACAGGCTGGATGGTCCAGGTCATCACATGTAGGGGAAATGAAATACCATCTGTATCATACCTTCTGTATAAAGCTCTGATTTCCCTCTGCGTGCCTCTCGATCTCAGTCTGTGATGACCAAAAACTATACAGTGTATCATTCCTAATCTGGGGTCCTCAAAGGGCATCCTGAAAATGTCCAAGTGATTGATGACATACTCAGAAGCCCTGTGAAGCTGTACAGGGACCTGGAGAAGGATACGCTGGCTACCAAAAAATACTGTTTTCCCCCCTTTTAACTCACTGGGCTCCAAAAAAGTGAATAAACCAATTATTACCTACTAATTTGAAGTGCTTTGGTAGATTAAAAAAAAAAAAAGTCATTTTAACAAGTAGTCAATCAAACGGTAAAGGGTTCCCTGGTGGCTTAAGTTCATTACCACTGTTCAAAGCTAGCTGTGCTTTATCTGCCAGTAGAGGTCATTTGACAATGACGACAAAAACCAAAGGGCTGATGAGTTCAGCTGTATGAGGTATGAGGTAGCATCTCTGTGCATTTCCTACAGACTTGAAAACACAAAGCTTTGTAGAAATTACATTTTGCTTCCATTAATGAGCCCTTTTCTAGAACCTATCATGAATGTGTCATCAAAAGAAGTTCCTGGTATATGTGCCACGGAATGTCCTCATCAAACCTGTGTAAACATCTCCTAGAGACTCGGGCTATCTTCTCAGAGGGCGGAAAGCTTATCGCCCAAGGGGTCTGCAGGGACTTCTGAGATGACTGCTCAGAAATGCAACAAGAAATGTCAGAACACTTGCTTCATTTGGTTATTAAATCTAATGAAGATACAAAGAATATTTTGGTCACACTGTTAGTCTGCCTTTAAAGAAGAGCATGTCTAAAAAAAGAAAAAACTTTTAACTGTTCCTAAATATGATGTTTGAGAACTTAGACTTTATTTTAGCTCGTTTCCCACATTGTAGCAAAAGAACAGCAAAAATACAGTCATATTTCTTCTCCATGTGCTCTTGACGACTATCACCAATTTGTAAAGTAGTGTGAGATGTGTTTCTTTAAAACAACTTCATTTTCCATCCAGATTTACTGTTCAAGTAACTACTTGGTCATTACCCCTCCTGCCACCTGTCACTGGGCCATCGGCTAGTTTAGAATTTCAATACTCAATACGTCACATCATGCATTTTGCAATGTAATGAATAAATGCCAACATAAAATCAAAATACAAACCAAAAAAAAATATGAACTAAAATAACTCATTCTGTTCACATACCCATGTAACAATCTCAGATTATTTTTAGACGACGAGGAGAATTCAGGTAAGAATTCTGATTAACATGAATGAATCCAAATCTTAAAGATGGGATATCGGATATGTCTGAATATTCAGCATATTCAATTCTGAATCATTTAAACAAATACTTTAAAACCTATTATGTGTGGGGTGGGGTTGTGGCTCCATGGTAGAGCACTCGCCCAGCACATGTGAGGCCCTGGATTCGACCCTCAGCACCACATAAAAATTAATAAATAAACTAAAGGCATTGTGTCCACCTACAACTAAAAAAAAAAAAAAATTATAAATTATTATGAGTTTTCCTTTATAAAGTTTGTCCTCGGACTTATCAAAACTGATAAAAATGTTAAAAGAGTTTCTTAACTCTTTCACATAAAATTTGACCTTCTTACATATTAAAAATTAACCCTTTGAAGTGCCTTTATTCCTAGTATATAATAGCTCAGTCAACGTGACCTTGTTCACAAAAATCCCTTGGACTATGGTGAAAGAGGCATTCCTTGCCTGACTAGTACCCACACAGAGAGAAACACACACACACTTATGCTGTATATCAATGGCACTTTAAAAAATACCAATTATAATAAATTTGAGATTTTAAGAAATCATTATTTACGATGTCTGCCTCTCCCGCTAGGGACTGCCATAAATCCCACCACAGGATGTCAGCCACAGTACTGAAAAAGAGCTCCTGGAAATGGAATTCTCAGCCATCACACAGCCAATAACTTTTCAGCGACACGTAGGTGGAATGAAGAGGGGACTCACCTCTCCTTGCTTGGGGATGCTGAACTTGGAGAGCTTGGCTTTGGCTCTGGCCGACTCTGGCTTGCTGGCTGGGCCTCCTCGGAACGTTGCGCAGTGCACGCCAGCCTCTGTAGACGACTTAAGCTTCGGAGACTCGTCGGGAGCCTGATCCTGGCCATCCATCGGTCTCACATACGCGGTCGGCTTTTGCTGGACCAGGCTGGGCTTTGAAGCCAGGGCAGGAGGGAAGTTCTGAACACAGTGCCCACCACTGCTGTGCTTGGCTGCCATGGCGGGTGGCCTCTCCTGGGTCTGCAGTCCCACCTCTACGTTGCACACTTGTTTGGCCCGCGGCTGCCTGCCAACACCATCTCCAAGCAAGGTCCTGAGAGAGCCCTGTTGTGCTGAGTGGGAAGAAGAAGAAGAAGAAGAAGAAATGAGCAGAGGAGTCTCAACACACAGCGGTTATGTTTTTTCATCACTGTTCTTTGCTTTCACCGATTTGGGCAAAGCAAGTGTCCTGTGCCCTTGCTTACCTGCCCGCGGTTGGCCATCGGACGGTGGGTGCCCAGCCTTCTGCCAGCCCATGGTGCCCCTTTTACTCTGTTGTACAGGGCCCGCGGCTGGAGTGGAAGAGGCTGTGCTACAGACAGATGAGGGCTGGGTCTGGGCTCTTGAATCTGCAACAAAATGTTCATCGATCTTGTTCACAGGAGTCTGAGGAACCCCCGGTTTGGGGACGCCAACGAGGTGACTCTGATTGGATCTATCGGTTAGAAAGTCTTTCATTTCATCATAATTGCCTAAAGTGTTCTGGATCCGGTTGGAGAGCTCATCCCCCTTGTTAGTCTGGAGAAAGAAAAACACATCCACGCTATGGTTAGAGACAAGAGAAACACAGGAAACAGTGGACAGCTGTCCTTATGGGTCATAGAACCAGGGCTGCTGTGTTTAGGATGAGAGGTGACAGAAGACATCAAGATCCTTAGGGTCTCTGAAGATGTCTGTCAGCACTCTGCACCACTCCAGGGCTGGAGACCTGTAATGAATGCTCTTAGGATATATAAAAAGGAATTCAGCCTTGGTATCCTGTAGCTAAACCGCATGACCTGGAAATCAATTTAACAAAACCGTCTAGATTAGGTCTTTCTAGGACTAGATTTTTCTTTTCTTTTCTTTTTGTAATCCCATGGAAAGCTTGTTCTGGAAAAGTTAAGATTTGGCTCAGAATTGGTCTGCTTCCAATTTCTAAGGAGATAATTATTCTTGTCAGAAATCCAGAGTGACAGGCAAGAGAAGTCAGGGTAAAGCTTCCAAGGCACATGGGGCTAAATGTGCAGGAAATCTACCAGCCTCAACTATCACGGCTCCGTGCAGACTAAGACATTCTCCATAGCTGGGAAGGTCATTCACTCTGGAATGGAACACAACCTGGTCTTTGGTGAAAATAAGAAACAATTTTACAGTTTCTTTCTCAGGTACCCTGACCCTTACCGTGAGCCATAGAAATCGAATATGGAACCCAACCTCTTTTGTGAACCGTACTTGTTTCCTAAGAGTTTAGGATGGTATTGACTTTAGAAGATCAATGCATTGGGTTCCATATTCGATGAAGTCTGTATTATCAATAAAGATCTCCACCAGCGGATCTCCATATCAAACTAGACACCAAGATTTGGAGGAGAAGGTACTGACGGGGTAGCTGAGGTCCCTCCCCTGGCTGAACAGGCAGAAAACTGACTGCAGACGGGTCCATGAGCCCTTCCAGTCAAGACCACCACCCCCAGGGACTGGGAAGCACACTCAGGGGTGAAGCCCAACAACCGAAAACCGCCTACCTTGTAGGGTTCACTGAAGAGGGAGTAACTGGAATTAAACGTGCCCCCATCCTGCTGAGCCTCCTGATTTCTTCTTTCTCGTTCTTTCCTCCGTAAGGCGTTCCTGTCTGGCTCATAGACGCTGTATCAGGACAGAGACAAGAGAACACACCACCAAGTCAAAGGGCGCAGCCCCACGTACCATTCCCTTCATGGGGCGATGGCAGCCAGGACACGATGGGATGAAAGCCAGGCTCATGAGGCCGTGTGAATCTGGGAACCTGATAATGACATTCTTCAGGAGGGAATGTTCTTAGGGCAAGTTCCAACCAGAGCCAGGCTCCTCTGCCTGATGTGCGAAAGAGGAACCATCCAAGTACCCCAAAAGGAAAGGACTAAGTGTGATCTTAGGGCAGACAGCAATTAGAGCTCTGTGTAAACAGAAATTACAAGCGTATTTCCTGTTAGGGCAGCCTGAGTGCTACAGGGAGGCTCCTGGTTGGGATCCCCCCCCCCCGCACCCCGGTTGGGCTTCTGCAGTGATTCTTGGATTAACCAGCTCCCTAAAGAGCTGCCGAGCCCCCGGTGCTGGGGCGCTGTGCGCCGTCCAGAGCCTTCTTCTGATCTCTGTTCATCAGTCAAGTCGTCAGACAACGACAGAATCGATTCTTCCTTCTGATATATTTGACATTATTGCTCCTCCTAACTATGAAAAATGTGCCGGGAGGACAGGGTGCAGGCGCCGAAAGGAGAGGGCGGAAATTGAATGGTGTCGCATCATCGAGGAACTCGTCCTTTCAGTTGGAAAAAATTAATATCTAATCTCCCAAAATACAATTATGAAGTGGCCAGACATCAGACAACTGGAGGAACTAAGGGAGGAATAAAGGGTTCCTTCCCGCTCCGAAGGAGAAATAACAGGGCTAATTCAACTAGGGAGGAGGGGGGGACCTGTTTACTGATGGGAAGAAATAATTTTGGGGGGGAAGCCTGGCCTCAGTACAGATCTTGGAATGAATATCACCAACCAGAAAAAAACAGCATAGCCCTCAAAATCGGCACTGCCCTCACGTCCTAGCAGAAACGTGGAATGTCGATGACCTTGCCACCAGGCTGGTGACCGCTCCACTCAGGAGCTAGGACACCAACCTGGTAACACCCCTCGACTCTCTATCCTTCAGCCTCTTCGTGACAAAGCAGGGGTGTCTGTGGCTTTGTTATGAGGTCCAAGCTGGAAGCTAATTTTATAAAAAACGGCTTGGAAAAATTTTAGGTGCTAGAAAACCCAGTGTACTGCTATGAAAATATGATTAAAATAAAAGGATCTTGGGGTCCAGAGGAAGTTCTGAAAATTCAAATTATTAAAGGCAAACAGCTATCTTTAGTAAAAGAGAGTATCTGTGCCATGTAGCTGTCGGGGACACAAATCACACAATCCTCCAATCAGGGCTGCTCAGGCCGGCTCGGCCCATGTGGCCAGAACATATTTTAAACACGCCGTCTCCGTGATGGGGCTCAACAAGCTTCTGGCAAGGCTGCTACAGCCCCTGAGGCATTTCATTTAAATTTAAAATTAGGGAATGTTAAAATATCCAGAACATGGAAGCTATTAGCATTTTAATTCATCCTTAGTACATTACCCAAAGTTATTAGGTTTAGGAGGCCAACCAGTGTCCTTCGCGTAAGGGAGGCTGCAGCCTCGGCAACCTGCCCTCAACAGAGAGGCTCACCGCTTCAGGGCCACTGAGGACTTTCTGGGGTGACAGTGACTGGCCTAAAGAGGCACGGGATGGAAATGACACTCCCATTCACAGGACCAGACTTCCGGTTCAAAGGAGAGGGAATGTCCTGACCCGCTGGTGGGCATGCGTCCCGGGAAACCCCAGCTTTTCCGAACATTCCACGGATTTCAGATGCAGATTGCTCTGAGGACACATGGCTCCTGCTGCACGGATGGGCACAGATGGGCTTTAACAAACAGGAGAATTCTCATTTGTGTTATGAGCTCCTTGTAGGTCAATATTGGCACTGACAATCAAACACATGAGCTTGTACTGCATGCATCTGGGCGCCCCTCCTCCCCACAGACACGGGGAAGCGCCACAGTGCCCAGGTCCACAGAGAGGCCTCCACGGGCACACCTGCCCCCTAGCCAGGGCGAGCCAACAACCAATCACACACGAGATGGGTGAGATGCACACGGTGGCCTTATGCAGGATGGAGCGGGCAGGTGGTCATGCAGGATGACTGCTGGGCTGCTGAGAGGCCCCCCGAGCCCAAGATAATATACCTCCTGCATCTGCTGGCTGATGACTGAAATTCCACAACTAGGGAATCGCTCCTCTGGCTTAAGATGTCTTCACCCCTGTAAGAGAAAACACTTTAAACCTGACCAGCCTTGGGCGTCTCCGTGGGCACCCATCTGTCCACTTTTTCCCCAAAGGGAAAGGGCACAAAAATACCGGGTTGCAAAGAAGGTCCAAAGAGGGTTCCAACCGAGGTACCATGAAAAAGACAGGGACGAGGGTCAAGAGCAGCAACGAAAGCCAACTGATGGACTCTTCTTGTTTGCAATGCGGCCCAGGTGTTTAAGCAAAGGCAAGGAGATAGTGCCAAGGTCAACTCAGCAGACCCCCGCCTCAACACACTTCCAGGGTCTGGGAGTCAGGAGCGTCGTGTAACGTGGAAAAGTGGGAGGTGAGGGAGAAGGGGTTCTCTTTAACTGAGGTGCCCCTTCCTAGCCCCTTTAAGCTGAAGAGCCCCCAAAGCCACTGCAGGAGGCAGGTCACTGCCAGATCCCATTCTCCAGTCACGTTCTGCCAGCCTGACCAGCCTGTGGCTTCCAGTGCTCTCAGGGCCACTTACACAGAATCCACCAATAGAGCTGCACGTGCCCTCTTCCTACAGGGCTGCTACAAGGCCTGTGTGCACACCATCGGGTGGAAGCCAGCTGACCCCAGTAACAACCGTCCCCGCCCCTTCACAGGAGACCAGAGGAAACACAGAAAGAAACGCCTGGCTTCTCCCCTTCCTCTGCAGGCAGCTCCGTGGTGTCCCCTGAGCACGGAGCCCTTCCTAAAGGTAACCCGCCCACTCCCTCTCCTTAACTAGAACTTCAACCCCCACGTGTCATTTCAGGCCTAGGGAGCTAAAATGTCACTTGCTTTAAGAAGCAAATGCCACTGAAAGAGAGTCGGGCCTTCCCACTCTCCATCTCTCCCTGAGCTTCTTCAGCTTCATCTGTCCACCAACACGAAAGGATTGAACTCAGAAAGACAGCAGCTGCTCGGCGGCGAGTCTGCAGATCACTCATGACAGGTGAAACCCGTGCAGGGCTCACGGGCTCGTGCAGGGCTCACGGGCTCACGGAGGGCCTTTCTCTCCATGCCCGGGCATGAAACCTCAGCTCCTCTGCCCTAGGAGCAATGTGGAGACCATGCCATTCGCTTCAGAAGCACACGCACCTTTCCCCTGACGTGCTGAAAGTGGGCTCAGCTTCCCCAGGAACGGATGACTTAAGTTTTAGACAATTCCGATTCCTGGCAGGCCACTGTACCCGCTCAACTCGGTAAGCACTGCGTGTTCCGAGCTTTTCTTTGTTACTAGCAGATGGTAAAATCTCTATCTGCAGAGTTGTTCCTTAGCTCTGTAAAAAGGACAAGATTGCCATTCCTCAAACATATATCACCAAATGTATTTATTTATTTTGCACCAAAGTGGAGGCAGCCAACTGCTATGATTTATTATTTATTGCAGATGCATAACAGTCCCAGAAAATGAACCTTTTAAATCAACTCCTTTTAAAAGACGTATTTATTTTGGGAATCTTTTTTTTTTTTAAATAGCACATGAAAAACATGGTAAAAAAAAACAAAAACATTTTGATCATTTCCCATTTATTTTTAATCTATCAATTGAGGTTTCTTGTAGGGCTTCCACCAAAGCCAATTATGGTGGTTAAATGGAAAGAGATATCTAGACATGAAATTACCATTTCCAAAATTAATCCATTCTTAATCACATGGTAACAACATGAAACGAAATAATAATGATGTCTACGAGCCTGAAGTTTTCTCCTTTCTGCTGAGCTCCAAATATTTTATCGGTATGTCTCGTAATTATCCTTTTGATGTCCCATGGAGAACACAGGGATGGTGAATATCATCTCTAGGTTAACTTTTTTTTTTTAAATCAAGAGTTCAATCACCAAAATGATGTCAGAAAGAAGGCCTCATGTAGAAGGAACAGCAATGTCTAAAGAGGATTTGGCTCATCTCTACCCAGAGCAGAGGAGCTACCCATAAGCCCAGAGCTGACCAAGAGCTGGCCAAGCTTCCTGAATGAACCCTGGTGCCAGCCAGCCCAGTAGTAACCAATAGTGAACGCGAGCCCCACCAAAGCAAAAGAGGACACATAAAACAAAAGGGACCCTTTCCCATTCAGAAAGAACAATGAAGAGAATCGAGAACAAAGTGTTAGCTATTACAATTTTTTACAGCCCCCAAACAACAAAAGAAAAATGCAGTCTCTCTTTCTGCAGCACACACACACCCAAATCGTTATCTGTGTAACCTAGAAATGTGGACTAGAAGACGGAAGAGTGAACAGAGAAAGTACAGATCCTCAAGCTGCCCAGCGAGGGCTGATGGCATCCCCCACCTTCATGAACTGCCCATTCACCAGATCTGTTGCAATCTGTCCCTGGGCTGCCCTGCGGGAGGGAAAGGTGCTGGAGCACAGCCTGACCCTCCAGCTGAGCCCTGGTTGACCCAGCAGACCCAGCTGGACAGGAGGAACTGCCTCCCTCCCTCGGGTACTCTTCCATGGGCAGCCTGCTGACATCTGAATGGAGGCTCCAAACAAATTACATCTCCCAGGGAGGAGATTTTAGTCAGTGATCTAGGAAGCCAACTGTACCCCTTAACTAGAATCATCAGCATTTTATTCTGACTTTCTAAAAAAAAAAAAAAAAAAAAAAAAAAGCCCACTTATTGTCTCAGGGGTTGGGGATTTGCATTGGTCCATTTTTTGTTGCCCTGACAAAATAACCGAGGTTAAGTCCTATATAAAGAAAAGAGGTTATTTAGTTCACAGTTTTGGAGGCTCAAAGTCCAATATTGAGTGATTTTTATCTGGCCTCTGATGGGGGCCCTCTGGGTGTACCACAACATGGTAGATGGCATCTTGTGGGAGGGTATGAGAGACGGAGAAAGAAGTCACATGGCAAGATAGGAAGCCAGAGGGGCTCGGGTCAAGGCTGGCTCCTGTGTAACAACTAGCTCTCAGGGAACTACCCTTTTGAAGGTAGCACACCCTGCCCCAATCACCTTGCACACCCCAACACCACCACACTGGCAACCAAGCCTCCAGTCCTAGAACACCTTGGGCACCCACTCAACCCTATTCAAACTGTGGCAGGGGCTAAGAAACAACTGAGTTCAAGGAGATGAGAATAATCTCATCCAACTCACCTCTCACCTACCTTTTGGAGAACGATACCATGTTATCCATGTTGTTTTCAAATATCAGAAATACAGTTCGATTTCCTCCAAAAGCATTTCCTGAATGCCACTATCAGATGCTGGGGAGACCACCAGGACTGTGACCAACCTACCCCACCCCTGAGAAGGTAATGGACAAGGGACAACAGGATGCAGGATCAGGGAGGAGGGGAAGGAAGAAGAAGGACCTAAATGTTCAAGACGTGCAGGTTACTATGAAAGGTTGGCCTTTGAGAGGAGTGGAGGGAGTGACCCTGGCCCTCCATAGACCACCCGATTTCTTTAACAAGCTGAATCCCACATTTTAATCCTCATGTCTTTGGTTTGCAGGTTTGATTTGGAGGGAATAAGCCAAGGGCAGACACAGAGAGAAAAACACAGAGGAACACTCTCTGCTTCCCCAGAGTGTGCACGGGGGCTGGACCTCAGCAGCCTGGCCACTGAGAAGACAACCTTCCAGACTCTCCGAGTCCTGGAAGGACACACTCGCTTTCCCCCTGGGCACCGACAGGCGCCTCCAGGGCAAACAAGGAGGGGACTGGCAAGAGCTGGGGAGAGGAGAACGTTCCCAGAGACTCTCCTGCTTTCTGGAGCGGCACATCAGCCGCTGTGTGTAATTAAAGAAATTAAATCAAACACTCCAAAATTATAACCAATTGTTTTGAATTTAATGAGTCAAACTAATTAGCATCTCTTGTTATTTATAAAGCAAATGATAAAAGATCAGTAATCCTTGCTTAAATTCGAGAAAAGCAAGGCTGTTGAAGGGTCCTTGCGCGTTGCCTCCTCCCTCTGCAGAGCTGGCGGAAGGCGGAAAGGTTGACCGGGGTCAGGGAGGCGACAGCAGACAGGGAGCAGGTGAGGCTGCAGTCAGGCCTTGAGAAGGAGGCAAGAACCCTGCAGCTGCAGTACTTCCAGGCCCTGAGGTGTGGTGGGGGCGGAGGTGATTGTCATGATATGGAGACACAGAGGGTGGTGGTGGCAGAGAGCTGGACATAGTGACTAACACCTGTCATCCTACCCGCTCAGGGGGCCATGGCAGGAGGATCGCAAGTTCAGAGTCAGCCTCAGCAACTCAGCGAGGCCCTGAGCAACTTAATGAGACCCTTTCCCAGAATAAAAAATAAAAAGGGCTGGGGATGTGGCTCAGTGGTAGAGCACCCCGGGCTTAATCCCAGTCCCCTCCACCACCACACACACAAATTTGCTGAACAGTGAGAACCAGTCAACAGCGCCTATTACAAATCCCCAGATCCTGAACACCATCACTCGGCCCCTGTTCAGTCACTCGGCCCCTGTTCGGTTACTCGGGATTCTTGTCTCTGAGCCAAGCAACTTCAGTTCCATGACTGTCACTCATCTGCCCGGACAGCACTCCCCGCCCCCTAGCTCCCCACTGGCGTTGTAAGTGAGCACCCCACCCCACATATTATTTCTAACCATGGATTCCTTGAAAAGGTCAGTCCAACCTCTTATGTGCTTGTCTTGGCCACAAAGGTTATCTCCATCTGAGTCCAATCTTGACGATTTCCTCCGAGAGCATTCACAGGTCTCTACCTTGGGTCGGCCGACAGTTCTTTCAGAATAGGAACTGGATGGAGGGTATTATGTGCCCCTAATTACTCCTGTGCTCCACCTTTGGGAAACTGTGACATCAAAGGGAACCGCAAAGTCACAAACGCCCCTAGACAAACTGAGCCCACAAATACATTTTGGGATGATCTATGCCACCTTCCCAAGACCCATCTGGCCCCTATTAAATCTCACTAATGACAACACCTACTCTACATGGATTTTACATGAATTATTTTGTTTAATAATCCTGAAAAACCCCAAGGGACACTACCCTCAGTTTCCAGGGAGG